GTTGTAAATGCTGGCTAAATTACAAGTGTAAATGGTAATTTACAGAAGGTAAATGTTGTAAATGATAGTGTAAATTGCCTTGTTTTTTTTTTACAGTCGTGTGTTGCAGCTGGTTATTAAAAATTAAAAAAATAATTAATATTTATGTCAAATTTACATAAAAATTTACTCAAAATTCTCATTTACGAAATTTACAAAAAAATTTGCATAGAATATATATATATGAAAAATTTACATAAAATCCTTTACAGAGAAATTTACATTAAAGGTTATTCAAATTTTTTTTTATAACATTTACAAAAAAACCTTCACAAGCTTAAATTTTCGGAAAAAAATGTATTATTAATGTTTCTTGATGCGAGGAACTGGAGAGGTCCGCTTCCCCCTTCTCCTTCCCCATACGTGTTTAGTTCTCCCTTGTGAATATAATGATGATGATGATAATAATGATGATGATAATAATAATAGTAATGGTAATAATAATAATATTAATAATAATAATTATAATTGTTATAATCATCATCATCATAGTAAAAATAATAATGGTAATAATAATAATAATAATGAATATTATTATTAATATTATTATCATTATTGTTATTATATGTCATAATAATAATAAAAATAAAAATTTAAATAATGATAATATAATAATAATAATAATAAAAATAAAATGATAATAATAAATAATAATAATAATTTTAATTTTAATAATAACCTAAAACAAGAATATCTTAATATGCTATTATTATTATAATAATAATTAATATTATTATTATCTGAGAGAAAGAGAGAGAGAGAGAGAGAGAGAGAGAGAGAGAGAGAGAGAGAGAGAGAGAGAGAGAGAGATAGAGAAAGAGTGAATTATCTTTATTTCCCTTTCCATCTGGAAGTGAATTATCTTTAAAACAGTCTATCTTAAACCAGAGTTACTATTAAAACAGAAAGTGGTTTAACCTCTCAGGTGACGTAAGGTCGAAACTTACATGTATAGCCTCTGTTTCCTCGACCTCAAAGGCAAAAAGCAAAAATAATTTAGCTTTTTAGAGATCAAGCTATAAAAGTTAGCTGTAGACCATTCCATGGTAGAAATATTAGCTATTTACATGCTAATTTAGCTGGTTTACGGGGTTTCAAACCTGTCGACTACACGAGGGTCATTAAGGCTGCACGTTACCTATACACAACCAGTCAAGAATGTTTTAGGCCTGGAGAAGTAGGCCTGTGTGAAATCTCTCTGAGTGATATACACCTCTCTCTCTCTCTCTCTCTCTCTCTCTCTCTCTCTCTCTCTCTCTCTCTCTCTCTCTCTCTCTCTCTCTCTCTCTCTTAGTATTATTTACCACAATATTTACGGTTTGTAATAGAGAGGAGACAGCATGAAAAGGACATGTGACATTGTAGTGATAGTCGACATTCGCCTCACTTACAGTGGATTTTGATCCTTGTTGTTAGTGTTACAAAGTCAACAAGTCGTTCATCTCTCTTTGTCATGTCACCCACAATGTCATATTTACAAAATCCTCGTAAGTAACGAGACACCGAGATGTTCACTTGTTTTTTAATAGGTAACGAAGATGCTCACTTGTTTTTCTTATAAGTAACAGGATGTTCACTTGTTTTGATAAGTAAGGCCGCACTTTGGGTTTGCTCACTTTCATAAGTAAAGCAAACGTCGGTGCTCCTTTTACAAGTAAGCAACACGTCGGTGCTCACTTTTACAAGTAACGCAACACGTCGGTGCTCACTTTTACAAGTAACGCAACACGTCGGTGCTCACTTTTACAAGTAACGCAACACGTCGGTGCTCACTTTCTCAGTGACTGTGGCGCAAGGCTGCTCAGTTGTGCTTCAGAGTGTTGAGGTCGCTTGCTTGAGTGTGCACATCCCGGCACACCTCGTGCACTCACACGTGCACCTCACAGCATCAATACTGGCACAGAGGGTGCAACAGCTGTGGGTGTTGATGCTCAGACAGCTGGTGAGTACATCAACGGATGCCCAGGACGTCAACATTACCAGAGTGTAGTGCTGAGAGTGTAGGGTGAAGAGTGAGTGGTAATTTGGACGAGGGAAATACAAAAAAGTGAGAGAGAGATAGAGATAGACAAAGGGAGAGAGAGAGAGAGAGAGAGAGAGGAGGGAGAGAGGAGGGGAGAGAGAGAGAGAGAGAGAGGAGGAGAAGAGGGGAGAGAGGAGAGAAGGAGAGGAAGGAGAGAGAGAGAGGGGAGAGGGGAGAGAGCAGAGAAGGGGGAGAGAGAGAGAGAGGAGAGAGGAGAGAGAGGAGAGAGAGAGGAGAGAGAGAGAAGGGGGAAGAGAGAGAGGAGAGAGAGAGGTAGAGAAGAGAGAGAAGAGAGTAGGAGAGAGAGAGAGAGAGAGAGGAGAGAGAGGGGAGAGGAGAGAGAGGGGGAAAAGAGAGGGAGAAGAGAGAGAGAGGGGGAGAGAGAGAGAGAGGGGAGAGAAGAGAGAGAGAAAAGGGGAGAGAGAGAGAGAAGAGGGGAAAAGAGAGAGAGAGAGAGAGGAGAGGAGAGAGAGAGGAGAGAGAAGAGGAAGAGAGAGAGAGGAGAGAGAGAGAGAGAGGAGACGAGAGGAGGAGAGAAGAGAGGAAGAGAGGAGAGAGAGAGAGAAGGAGGAGAGAGGAGGAAGAGGAAGGGGGAGAGGGGAGAAGGGAGAGAGAGAGCACTTCCTATATAAAAGAGAGAAAGAAAGAGAAGTAGAATATTGTAGATTCGTGGTTTCTACCCTAAAGTTGTTCTGTGAAAATAGCTGTGGCTGGTCACTGTTGTGTGGAGAATACAAGAATTATATTTAATATTCAAAAGATACGATAACAAATATATATTTAAGTATTTGGGGTGATGCAAGGTAACATGAGCCTAGTGACCTGTTTTCAACCGGTGAAATGCCTGTTACCTGTGTAGAGGGAGTAATAAATTAGCGAAACTTTGTTATATATCTTTAAAGTATAAACAGAATTGTACACTATATACAAATATGTACCAAAAGGTATTAGTGCACGGGAATCAAAGGAATTGAATCAATAGAAAGCAGACCCCGTGTTCAACCCGGTTTAATGGAAATGGCAAGGATTTACCACGTGGTGGTACAGTCCCTTCAAATTCAAATTTTCATTGGCTGAACCTAGCATGATTGAGATGGGGCCCGAAGTGTTTCCCTTTGTGTCTGGTTGTGGTTGGGGAGGTAGCCTTTTAATGGGGTGTGTACATGCGTGATAAGGTTAGTATTTTGATGCCCCACTCGTTCAGCAGTAGACTTAAAACCATTAAACAGCCGGTGTTAAATCAGATAAAACTTTGTTGGAAGGGGGGCAGGAATTATCTTAACTTAGATCGTTGATCAATATAGCACATTAAGGGCGATTAATAAGTTGGGTACTGTAAGTTGCCTAAATTCAATTTTCATTATAGATAATGTAAATTTTTGTGGAAATTTGGAAAGTTTCTAGTGGGAAAGTTAAACCCTTGTGATGATTTCTCTGGTTCTGATGATTACGGCAAGTTATACTCTTGGCTAACTTAAGTTTCGGTACTCTGGCTGTGATGAATATACGTCTTCCATTAAACAAGATCCTACGATTCTTTATCTCTGATTTTGTAATTTGTGGTCAGTGTATTCAGGTACTGTAATTGTGTAACTTTACCTCCTATTATGATAACTTGTGAGAAGTTAATTTTTGACTATCATTTAATTGTAAAAAGTTAAAATTCTAGTATGATAACTTATGATGTGATAGTGAAAATTTTTGTGGAAATATTATATCTTTCATAAAGTACTTGGTAATTTTTTTTTATCTTTCAACTGTAACAATAAGACCAAAACAAGCCAAGATTAAAAGCACAAAGGAGCAATAGTTACCGCGATGCGTGAACTTAAAATCTTGGTTTAGGTGGCGGGGCAAGTGTAGGCCCGTATGACGGCGCTCCGTGACTGAAAAAGTAGCGCGAGGTGGTTACGAAACCCGGGTCCGGGACACCACCCACCTGGACGACGTGTAATCATCAGTGGTTGCATGGAAAGATGGGAAATGTTAAATTGAAGGTTTGATTTAGACGTGGTTGGGTTAAAGAAAAGGTTATAAAAGTTTTAGACTGTTCACTAGCTTATTAAGTGTCTTGAAACGGTTACGACCGGTTCAGTGAAGGTTCACACACCTGGATGATCAAGCTCATAGCTGGTAAATGGACAGCTCAAGCGCTAAAAAAAAAAGTAGATGGAGTAGAGAAAGCATATGAAAGACTAGAACAATAATGACAAGCAGTTCTCTAACAATATTAGCACAAACATTCCCAGATGGAGAGCGTAAACCAGCGTGTGGAACTACTGTCTCCCGCTGGTCTTGAGATGGCTGGGTGGGTGGGATTTTGGGAGTCGCCAGAATCAACAGCCAGGTTGACCAGACGATCAAAACTGACCTCAGGGTGTGATGCGAGGGTACAACAACCCTGGAAACCAATCACAGGCGTACGAGAGGTCTGTGTACAGCAGCAAGACTGTGCAGCAGTGCATCACTGCTGGTCCAGCTCTCACTGCTGCTCCGTACTTCATGACGAACTTCTACTACTACTACTGCTACTACTTCTACTACGACTACTGCTACTACTTTACTACGACTATTTCCTATAAATAATATTAATTAAAGATAATAATAAAATAATAATAATAATAATAATAATAATAATAATGAACGTGTGCATTACAGATGACACATGACTGATTTTAAAACATCTGCATGATTCATTAACATGATACATCAACTCTGCATGATACAGTGAACGTCAGAATGACCACATGAGGTCCTTTGAGAGAGGCGCATGCACATAACATGACACAATACTTGGTGCCACCTATAAATTGCCTCATGTATTATCGCACTCTTGTAATGACTTGCGTGACTCATTACTGCAGAGAGAGAGAGAGAGAGAGAGAGGAGAGAGAGAGAGAGAGAGAGGGGGGGGGTTATTGGAGGGGATAGAAATTACCTTCATCATGGGACCAGAATATAAAGGCCGGAGGCTCAGGGCTGAACTTGACGGTACATGTCAGGACGAGTCTGCTACCTGTGTTGATATACACGTCTGGGCCGCCTAGGATCACCGTTACCGGCTCTGTCAAGGAAAAATAGTCAGTCAACGTAGTGGAAGACGAGGAAGAAGACGAGGAATACTCAAACTGAGTAATAATAAAGGAATGGAAGAGAGGAGTAAGGATAGAATAGGATTAAGAGAATAAATATGAAGAAGGATGAAGGTGAACAAATCTTTAAGTCCACCATCAATAACTTGAACAGTATCATGGTGTGTCATCCAGAAAACGATGATTCAACAGGATGATAATAAGAGACTGACCCAACAAGCATGATGAATGATGGTGGTGAATCATGTTATTTACCTCACGCAAGATTATCCTTCCTTCACTGTCTTGAATATGAAGTATGAAGACGAGAGTGAGAGAGAGTGTGAGCCTCGCTCACTCACCATGAAGACGAGAGTGAGAGAGAGTGTGGCTCATCATATGAAGACGAGGTGAGAGGAGGTGAGCCTCGCTCACTCACCCTGAAGGCGAGGTGAGGGGAGAGTGTGGCCTCGCCCCATTAAATGGGAGAGGGTGAGGGGAGAAATGTGAGCCCCGCTCCTCACCATGGACGGAAAATGAATGGAGTTTGGGGCCCTCGGGTCACTCAACCAAAGAAGACGAAAAGTGAGGAGAGTTTTGAGCCTCGCTCATATGAAAACGAGAGTGGGGAGGGAGTGTGAGGCCCCCGCTCCCCTAAACCCTTTAAGGGCGAGGGGTGAGAGAAAAGTGTGAGCCTTTGCTCAATCACCATGGGAAAACGGGGAGTGAGGGGAGAGTGTGAGCCTCGGTTTACTCACCATGAGAAAGAGGTTTAGGGGAGAGTGGAGCCCCGCTCACTATGGAAAAACCCAGAGGGGGAAAAAGGTTTGGGGCCTGCCCCTATGAAGAGAGAGTGAGAGAGGTGTGGGCCTCGCTCACTCACCATGAAGACGAGAGTTTAGGGGGAGGGGGGTGAGCCTCGCTCACCCACCCTGAAAAACGAAAGTGAGAGAGGTGTGAGCCTCGGGTCACTCACCTTGAAAGACGAGAGTGAGAGAGAGTGGGCCTCGTCCCTTTACCATTTAAGACGAGAGTGAAGGAGTTTGAGCCCCGCTCCTCACCATGGGAAAACGAGAGTGGGGAGAGAGGTGAGCCTCGGGTCAAATATGAAGGGCGGGGGTGAGGAGAGTGTTTAGCCTGCCCCTCACCCTTAAGAAAGGGCGAGATGTGAGAGAGAGGGGGGAGCCTCGCTTTAATATGAAGGGCGAGGAATGAGAGAGGTGTGAGCCTCGCTCCCCTCCCCCTGAAAAACGAGAGTGAGTGAGAGTGTGGGGCCCGCTCTTCCCCATTTAAGGGCGAAAGTGGAGAGAGTGTGGGCCTCGCCCCATCACCTTTAAAAACGAGGGGGGAGGAGTGTGAGCCCCGCTACACCATGAAAGGGCGAGAGTGAGAGAGAAATGTGAGCCTCGCTAAATCCCAAAAATGAAGGGCGAGAGTGAGAGAGAGTGTGAGCTCGCTCATTTTCCCCTGAAGGGGCGAGAGTGGGGAGGTGTGAGCCTCGCTCCCCTCAAACCCTGAGGCGAGGTGAGGAGAGTGTAAACCCGCCCCACTAAAGAAGACGGAGTGAGAGAGGAGTGTTTAGCCCCGCTCACTTTTCCCCTGAAGCGAGAGTGAGAGGGAGTGTGAGCCTCGCTCATATGAAGGGGCGGGGAGTGAGAGAGGTGGGGACTCGCTAACCCCACCATGAAAACGGGGGTGAGAGGGGGATGTGAAAACCTCGCTACTCACCATGAAGGGCGAAAGTGAGAGGAGAGTGTGAGGGCCCCGGGTCATCACCATGAAGACGGGTTTAGAGAGAGTGTGAGCCTCGCTCCCCCTTTACCCCTGAAGGGGCGAAAGTGGAGGGGAGGGGGCCTCGCCCCAAATCCCTGAAGCGAGGGGTGAGAGAGAGTTTGTGAGCCTCGCTCACTCACCATGAAGACGAGAGTGAGAGAGAGTGTGAGCCTCGCTCACTCACCATGAAGACGAGAGTGAGAGAGAGTGTGAGCCTCGCTCACTCACCATGAAGACGAGAGTGAGAGAGAGTGTGAGCCTCGCTCACTCACCATGAAGACGAGAGTGAGAGAGAGTGGGGAGCCCGGGTCAATTTGAAGACGAGAGGGGGAGAGAGTGTGAGCCTCGCTCAAATCACCATTTAAGACGAGAGTGGAGAGAGGGAGGGACCCCCGTCACTATGAAGGGGAGATTTAGAGAGAGTGTGAGCCTCGTCCTCACCATGAAGGGCGAGGTGAGAGAGAAATGTGAGCCTCCCCTCATCCCATGAAAACGAAATGTGAGGGGAGGGGTGAGCTGGGGGCCCCCTCAACATGGAAAACGGGGAGTGAGGGAGAGTGTGAGGGCCCCGCTCACTCACCAAAGAAAAACGAGAGTTTGGGGGAGAGTGTGGCCCCGGGTCACTACCATGAAGACGAGGGAGGGGAGTGTGGGGCCTCGCCCCACTCACCATTGAAGGACGATGGGAGGAAGAGTGTGAGCCTCGTCCTTGAAGACGAAAAGTGAGAGGGGAGTGTGAGCCCGCTCACCCCCACCATGGGAAAACGAGAGTGGAAAGAGTGTGAGGCCCCCCGTTTCACCATGGGAAAAAGAAAAATGAAGGAAGGGGGAAATGTGAGCCTCGCTCACTCCCCCTTTTAAAACGAGAAATGAGGGGGGGAGTGTGAGCCCCGCTCACTCACCATGAAGACGAGGTTTAGAGAGAGTGTGGCCCCGCTCATATGAAGACGGGGAGTGAGGAGAGAGTGTGAGCCTCGCTCACTCACCATGAAGACGAAGGGTGAGAGAGAGTGTGAGTCGTCACTCAACCTTTAAGACGAAAAAGTGAAGGGGGAGTGTGAGCCTGCTTTCCCTCCTTTAAGGGCGAGAGTTTAGGGGAGAGTGTGAGCCTCGCTCACTTTCCCCCGAAAAGAGAGTGGGGAGGGGAGTGTGAGCCTCTCACTCCCATGAAGAAAAGAAAGTGGAGAGAGTGTGGCCTTTGCTTTACTCCCTGAAGGGGAAAATGGGGGAGAGGGGTGTGAGCCTGGGTCATTAACCATGAAGACGAAAGTGAGAGAGAGTGTGAGCTGCTCACTCACCCTGAAGGGCGAGAGTTTAGAAAAAAAGAGTGTGGGGCCTCGCTCAAAAAAAACCTTTAAGGGCGAAAGTGAGAAGGGGATTTTGAGGGCCCCGCTCCTTTACCCGAAAAACGAGAGTGAGAGGAGTGTGGCCTCGCTATTCCCATGGGAAAACGAAGGGGTGGAGGAGTGTGGGGCCTGCCTCATCACCATGAAGACGAAAGTGAAGGGAGGGGTTTTGAGCCTGCTCACTCACCCTGAAGACGGGGAAAATGAGAGAGAAATGTTTAGCCTCGCCCCTCCACCATGGGGACGAAAGTGAGAGAGAAGGGGTTTTTGGCTGTCACTCACCATGAGGCGGAAATGGGGAGAGAAATGTGAGCCCCCGCCCTCACCCTGAAGAGGAGTGAGGAGAGTGTTTAGCCTTCGGGTCACTATGAAGGGCGAGAGGAGAGAGAGTGTGAGCCTCGTCACTCACCTGGGAAAAGGGGGAGTGAGAGAGAGTGTTTAGCCTCGGGTTTATTTAACCCTGAAGACGAAAATGAGGGGGAGAGTGTGAGCCCCGTCACTCCCTGGAAAAGAGAGTGAGACGAGAGTGGAGGGCCCCGCTCACTCCCCCATGAAGGGCGAGAGTTTAGAGGAGTGTGAGGGCCTTTGCCCCCTCACCAAAGAAGGGCGAGAGTGAGAGGGAGTGTGAGCCTCGCCAACACCATGAAAACCCAAAGTGAAAAGGGGAGTGTGAGCCTCGCCCCACTCACCATGGGAAAACGGGGAAATGAGGGGAGAGGGGTGAGCCTCGCTCACTACCATGAAGGGCGAGAGTTAGAGGGGAGTGTGAGGGGCCCCGTTTAATCCCTTTAAAAACGAAAGTGAGAGAGAGTGTGAGCCTCGATAAATCCCTTGGGAAAACGAAATGTGAAGGGGGAGTTTTGAGCCCGCTCATTTACCTTGGGAAAACGGGAAATGAGAGGAGTGGAGCCCCGCTAAATCACCATGAAGACGAGAGTGAGAAGGGAGTGTGGGGCCTCGCTACTCACCCTGGAAAACGAAAAATGAGAGGAGTGTGAGCCCCGCTCAATCACATGAAGGGCGGGGAAATGAGAGGAGGGGTGAAAACCTGTCACTCAAACCCTGAAGACGAAAATTTAGGAGGTTTGAGCCTCGCTTTACCCCATTTAAGGACGAGAGGAGGGGGTGAGGTGGGGGCCCCGCTCACTCACCCTGAAGAGAGAGTGGGGAAGGGTGTGAGCCTCGCTCACTCAAACCCTGAAAACGAAAAGTGAGGAGAGAGGGGGGAAACCTCCCCTCACTCACCATGAAAGGGCGGAAAATGGGAAGGAAATGGGGGGCCTCGCTCATCACCAAGAAAACGAAAAATGAGAGAGAGTGTGAGCCTCGCTCACTCACCATGAAGAAAGAGGTGAGAGGAGTGTGGCCTCGTAAATCACCATGAAGCGAGAGTGAGGGAGAGTGTGGGGCCCCGCTCACTATGAAGACGAGAGGGGAGAGAGGGGGTTGTGAGCCTTTGCCCCTCACCTGAAGAGAGAGTGAGAGGGGAGTGTGGAAACCCGCTCACCCCCCATGAAGACGGAAAAATGAGGGGAGAGGGTGAGCCTGTTTACTCACCATGAAGGGCGAGGGTGAGAGAGAGTGGGAGCCTCGCTCATCCCATGGGAAAACCCAGAGTGAGAGAGAGTGTGGGGCCCTTTGCTCACTCACCCGGAAGACGAGAGGGGAGAGGAGTGTGGCCTGCCCCTACCAGGGAAAACCGGAAAAATGAGAGAGAGTGTGGGGCCTCGGGTTTACTCACCATTTAAGGGCGGGTTTTGGGGGGAGTGGGGGCCTCGTCCCCTCACCATGAAGACGGAGTGAGAGAAGGGGTGTGAAACCTCGCTCACTACCCTGAAGGGGAAAGTGAAGAAGTGTTTAGCCTTTGCTCACTCACCAAAGAAAACGAAAATGAGAGAGGTGGAGCCCGCTTTCCCCACCCTGAAGGGGGAAAAATTAGAGAGGGGTGTGGTGGGCCCCGCTACTCACCATGAAAACGAGAGGGAGGGGAGAGTGTGGGGCCTCGCTCATTTACCCCTGAAAACGAAAATGAGAGAGGGGTTTGAGGGGCCCCGCTATCACCCCTGAAAACGAGAGTGAGGAGGAGGGTGAGCCTCGTCATCACCATGAAGACGAGAGTGAGAGAGGGGGTGTGAGGCCCCGCTACTCACCCTGAAAACGAAAAATGGAAAAGGGGGAAATGTGAGCCCGCTCCTCACCATGAAGAAAGAAAGTGGGGGGAGAGTGTGAGCCTCGCTCACTCCCTTGAAGGACGAAAGTGAGAGAGGGGTGTGAGCCTCGTCAATTCCCCCCTGAAAAAAGGGGGAGTGAGAGAGGGGTGTTAGGGCCCCGCTCACTCACCATTTAAAGCAAAAGTGAGAAGAGGTGTGAGGCCTCGCTCCCCTATGAAAGCGAAAAAGTGAGAAGAGGTGTGAGCCTCGCTCACTCAAACCCTGAAGCGAGAAATGAAGAGAAATGGGAAACCTGCTCACTTTACAAAGAAAACGAAAATGAGAGGGTGTGAGCCTCGCTCACTCACCATGGGAAAGGGGATTGGGAGGGGAGAGTGTGAGCCTCGCTTTACTCCATGAAGAGAGAGGAGGAGAGTGTTTGAGGGCCCCGCTCATCACCATGAAGGGGCGAGAGTGAGAGGGAGTTGACCCCCCGCTCCCCTCACCTTTAAGACGAGAGGGGGGAGGGAGTGTGAGCCTCCCCTCACTACCATGAAAGGGCGAGGGTGAGAGAGAGTGTGAGCCTCGGCCCCACTTGGGAAAAGAGGGGTGAGAGAGAGTGTGGGGCCTCGATCACTCACCATGAAGAAGAGCGGGGAGAGAAAAGGGGTGAGCCTCGCCCCACTATGGGGAGAGAGTGAGAGGGGAGGGTGAGCCTCGGGGCCCCACTCACCATGAAGACGAGAGTGAGAGGAGTGTGAGCCCCGCTTTATCACCATGAAGGGCGAAAAATGAGAAAAGAGTGTGAGCCTCGTTTAATCCATGAAGAAGAGTGGAGAGAAAGGGGTTTTTGGGGGCCCCCGTCCTCAACCCTTTAAGACGAGAGTGAGAGAGAGTGTGGCCTCGCCCCAACCTTTACCAAAGAAGACGAGGGGTGAGAGAGGTGTTTAGCCTCGCTCACTCCCCCATGAAGGGCGAGAGTGAGAGAGAGTGTTTTAGCCCGCCCCACTTTGAAAAAACGGGAGTTTAGAGAGAGGTGAGCCTCGCTCACTCCCCCAAAAGAAGCGAGAGGGGGAGAGAGAGTGGAGCCTCGCTCATCCCCATGAAGACGAAAGTGAGAGAGAGTGTGAGCCTCGCTCATCACCTTTAAGAAAGAGAGGGGGAGAGGTGTGAGGGCCCGCTCACTCCCCTGAAGACGGAGTGAGAGAGATTTTGAAACCTTTGCCCCCAACTTTGAAAACGAGAGTGGGGGGAGAGGAGTGTGAGCCTCGTCACTCACCTTTAAGCGGGGAGTGAAGGGGAGAGTTTTGAGCCTCAAAAAACTCACCTTGGGGAAGAGGGGTGAAAAGGAAAAGTGTGAGGCCCCCGCTCAATCACCATGAAAAACGAGGGGTTTAGAGAGAGTTTTGAGCCCCGTCACTCAAATGAAGACGAGAGTGAGAGGGGGGAGGGTGAGCCTCGCTCCCCTTTACCCTTTAAGGAGAAATGAGAGAGAGTGTTTAGGGCCTTTACTCACCCCACCCTTTAAGAGGAGTGAGAGAGAGTGTGGGGTCGTCCATCACCAGAAGGGGCGAAAGTGAGAGAGGGTGTGGCCTTTGCTCACTAAAATGAAGACGAGAGTGAGAGGAGTGTAAACCTGTCAACCCCACCATGAAGACGAGGTGGAGGGGAGTGTGAGCCTCGCTCACATTGAAGACGAGAAATGGGGAGAGAGTGTGAGCCCCCGCTCCCCTCACCCTGAAGACGGGGAGTGAGAGAGAGTTTTGGCCTCACTCAATCCCATGGAAAACGAGATTTAGAGAGAGTGTGGCCTACTCACTCCCATGAAGGGGGAGTTTAGAGAGAGTGGAGCCCGCCCCACTATGAAGACGAGAATTTAGAGAAAAGTGTGGCCTCCTCCTCACCATGAAGGCAGAGGGGAGGGGGAGAGGTGAGCCTCAAACACCCATGACAAACATGAAGAACAAAGAAAGAATTTAAAGAAATTTTGTTTTGGTGTTGGTTGTCTCCCCAATTAGTAAAGGGACTTAAAAAGGGTTAAGTTAGGGTTTTGAGGGGTGATGGTGATGGTGGGTTTTTAAAAATGATTGTGTTTATG